GATATACCCAAAGCTTGTAATACTCTTGGTGCCATCCCAGACATTCTGTGTTTCCAAAATATCCTTTTGGTTTGGATGCCGAATATAATAGAGGAGTTCACCAGAAGAAAAGCTTGACCTCTACAAAAACCAGTCCAAAGTAGACCACACCTCAGTTTTACACTCTTGGTACTTCGTCGACAACACACCTACTTATGTAGGACCAAGTTATTATTTACTTTAGCGTCTTCTATAGCACTGACTGTAGTTCGGTTTCTTGATTTTTTGTTGACCAGATGATCGTTAGAAAGAGTTCTGTAAACTTTCTGATTGTTAATACTCACTAATTATTTAAACCAGATATCTTTATACCAAAGTGTTTTTTACTAACTTATCTGAACTTGATTACTTAGTTGATCACCTCTAAATATTTACAGGTAGGCATAGTAGAGTTAATATCTTATTATGTTTTATATTTGAATTAATTTAGATATAAAATAAAGAGACAATTTATACACTGTACATATGCTGTTGCTGCATCTCTGCAGATCATAAAATCAGATGTAATGTAAAATCAAAACAACCAGTTTTTCGTTAGTTAAGGTTAGGATGAAATTAGGATAAGGGACATAACAAAAATCAGGTGATTTTTTAGGAAGGGGGGATAAAAATTTTAAAATTATATATAAGAACCTGATCAAGATATATATTAAGTGGAGGAAAGAGGGGTAAGCTTCTGATAAAAAAAATCAGGTGATAAATAACACTGCTCTAAGTTTATAAGCTTTAAAAAAAATTTTATAGTAAAATTTTAAAATAAATTTTTTTGTTAGAATACAAAAAGTAGTTTCATATATGAAGTTTTGTGTTACTGTATAAACAATTTTTAACAAAGTAAATGTTTGTTTTGAATTTTTTAATTATGCTACATTATACCTGATTTTAAAATTTAATTGGTCAATCATGTAAGAGGCGGTAAATTAATGACATTACTAAATATGGTGAATAAATATACTCTAAAATAAATCTAAATTTAAATTACTATATTTTTCTATAATTTTTGACAAAATATCAATTCAAATATAAATATATTTAGATTAAACCAGTTTTGATATTTTAATAAAAAAAATTTCTTGCAAAATTTTATTATAATTTATATTTTTATCCGAATTTAGTCTTTAATTTAACTTTAATACTAAATAAATCTATTTTAGTTTATAAAAATTATTTATAGAAGAGTGTGATGACTTAGTGAAGTGGTGAAGTTGTTACACCCCAAGTAGTAGGATCAGAGTTCGAATCCCATCGACGACAAAAATTCAAATTTCAGAATGTGTTATAGCAGATTGTAAATATAATCAGATAGATTAGTATCTGTACTCTGATCACACCAGTTGTATTAGAAGGCTGTAAAACATAGTATAATGCATAAGTTATATGAAACCCAAGTGAAACAGCTGTGTAAATCCAAAGTCAGTGCATATAAAAGTCCACTTAGCAAGATCTGGATAGAGAGGTAGCATCAATCTTTGACAGTACTATGTAAAAGATTATTAACCAGAAAACTGAAAAACCAAACAGGACTGAAGCATTTGGTAAGATACTTTATCAACCTGGCTGTCAAAGAGTAATTGGAAGAAAAGGATCTAATCATGGAGACCAAAAACAGTTCACAGCTCTTCTGGGCCATCTGGATTAGAAGTTTGGGATAACAAATATACAAGAGATAGTTTGTATAGTAGGTGCTGAGGTTTGGGTGAACTTTATAAGGATGGTAGTAAATAACTGTAGCAGCCTTAGCTTACAAATACTTGTCCTCGGACTTGGCATAAGTTACTGAAAAAGACTAAGTAATACAATAATAGTGGGTACCAGACTGCTCTAGCAAGCAATGCACTTGAGGAGAAATCGGTTTCATATCAGTAGTCCTATAGATAGCACACAACAATCTAGGAACTTGAACTGATTTATATATCACATGTTCCAGGTGAGGTTAGATAGATTGGCATAAGAAACTCAAATCAGAAGGTTTAATTGGATAATTTAAGTAATAGTGGGTTATAGATATGGCATCTAGTATAGAACCTAATAATAGGTAGATACTTAATTAGACACTCAAAAGTTCAGATATGACTAGAATATACCTTTAAAAAGGGCATTACATGATTCTATAATTTAATAAAAGTGGAAAGCTGAAGAGGCTAACCTTGACTACAAAAAATTATTTAATAGACAAATTACGAATTATCTAAACAAATATTTTTTTTATATATAAATTTTACTATAAGCCCAAATGTGCAGTGCTTCTATCTAAACCTTTTTTACTAAATAAATCATTCTTAGGCTTGTAACAAAAGTTGTAAAGTGGGGGCCGATCATATAACTCTTCCTGACGATCACTTGTACCAAATTTTCTTTACAAACAATTTGTTTTTTTTTGAACAATTTTATTAAGTAAACTGTTGTTGGCTGTTTAAGTAAACTTGTTCTATACAAGATTTTACACATAAGCGGCCCTTTATTATATCTCTTTAGCCCCTCTACGAAGAGATATAGTACACTTGTTTAAATTCTTTTTATTTAAAAATCTCAAAATTTTATTAAGTAAATACTACTGCTTTCTTAATAGAAACAGATAGAGCTCATTGAGAGATTCATTTTGATATATAATACATAGCAAACGGACTTAAATCTACATTTTTATCTTCAAAACTTTGCAAACTTTCTTGCAAAAATTCTGCTAATTTTTCTGCAAAATTTTTTTTGTTTTTTGAGGGGTCCTGGCTCCTTAGAACGCCCAAACCTGCAGATCACTATTACAAATCAGAAAGTTTAAATAGATAATCTTTAAGTAGATTGCAGATATGACAACTAGTATAGAACCTTCATATGAGCTACTTAAATAAACAACCTAAAGTTGCATATGTGGCTTGTTATACACTCATTGTAAATACTATATATAGAATCTCTTGTAATCCAATTACAAATAAAACATCAATAAAGCTTGGTCTCGAAGAATACCTTATAAAAAAAAAACATATTGTAAAGAAAACAAACCTTTTATCTAACTAACATAATATACTACAATATATTAGCAGAACACTACTTACTATACCCACTTCAAAACACCCCATATTACAACAAAGTATAGCAAAATTCAACAGATGGATGACAATATTTTTCCCTGTAGTAATTTATATAATTCATTCTAAAAATATAAAACATAAATTATTTAATAAAGACCAAGGCCAGGCTTCACTTTTAAAAAAAAAAACAAAAAAAAAGACCTTTTAGCTTAAAAATATGTATGTCTAGGCAGTGTTGTACATTTTTACTATTCAAGGCTTTTTTGACCATGTTCAATATCCAAATATCCAGGTATTCAAGAGCGCTTCAAGTACGTCCAAGCTCTAATAATTAATAAATTTGTCTTTTTTAAAATATTTTTTACTTGAAAAGTATATAGATTATCTTAGTAAAATTTTGACTAATTTTAATTTATATTTTTGTTCAAAAATATCCAAAAATGTCCAAACTCATATCCAAGTTATCCATTGACAACACTGTGTCCAAGGAATGAACCTGTGCATTACACCTACAAAGTACGAATTTAAAAAACCGATTTATAGAAACCAACCAAAATTTGCATAATTTTATCTTATAAATACCATTTTACGTATTCCATTTTATTCCATTTTTATGTTAGTGGATGTATTCATCACCCTTAAGACGCATGGTGGTTATGCTAGATGATATATTAAATAAAACAACCAGAATATCAATTAAAATAAAGCTCATGCTAGTGAAAATCGCGGATAGATTAATGGAGCAACCAAAATTCAGCAGATCGACCAAAATTTAGAGTCGGAATAGGCCCGGAATTGATAAATTTCTCCCAAAATCACCCTAATAAAATGGGCTGCCTAGATGATAATTTTGCTGTAGTATAGTTGACTTGTATTATTGCCTAATGCCGGCCTAGCTTCTGGCCTATTCCGACCCTAAATCTGCTGAATTTTGGTTGCTCCACTAATCTATCCGTTCCTTAATGAAAGCGACATTATATACTTACGAATAAAATACGTTTGAATTATGCGAAATAATACTGTATTATATTGTCACTGTACATATTTATTTTTTATTTTTTTTTGATTATATTACGCTAACTCTATTAATAATTCTTTTCCTGAATACAATGGATGCAAAGTCTTGTCAATATATTTACTAAATGTTGATTTGGGTGTACCATAAAAACGAAATCCATTTGCAGAGATCGTGGCATCTAACATGGGAATAAGATAACTAACTAAAGGGGTTTTGTCTTCTGCATTTCTAGCACTTTTTATTTCAGGTAATTCCTGATCAAAATCATCCAAGACAAATACGCAAGGAAAAGTATTAAAAAATTTGAATAGTAACGGATTGGTACGTGGGGATTCTGCATCTGTGGCAATATAAATAATAGTGTTAACACCTTTATCTGTCGGATGAAGTGGTTTCCGACATTTTACTTCTTTCAGAGTGTTTAGATTAACAATTTCTTGGTATGTACTGTCATCAGTTTCGATACTACGAGAATTATTTGTACCTAAATCTACAGTATCATCGACTAAGATATCACTATCATGTGTGGCACCTTCAAGAACGTCTACTTCTTGCGGAGAAAGATTAGTAAATGTATCAATGATTTGATGATAGATTTTATCAATGTTTGGTCTGGCAAAT